AATGTACGAGGTCTGTTAGATTAGAAACCGGATTTTGGTCATAACTAGCCCACAATGCGTTCGAATTAGGTTTCTTTGAGCTTTTCTGATAGCTGGAAATATACTTAAGAACGCTACGTTCACAGATTTTGTTTATTTTGATCAGTGTTTAATCTGTGTCATCTTGAATACGAGTAAGTCAGGTCCGTTTTGCGATTTTCATCATGCGATCACTGACAGAGCAAATATTCAACATTAAATTTTGTTTTAAACTCGGTACACCTTGTACCGAAACTTTTGGTATATGCTAAGTAAAGTTTACCATGATCATTGCATGAGATGTTCCCACTGTTTTGAATGGGTTAAACGATTCAAAACTGGTCAGGAGTTCGTCAAAGATGAGGAGCATGGGAATCGACCCTCAACGGCAACTGACATTTGTCACGTGGAAGAAGTGCGGGCAAAAGAGCTCGAAAATGGTCGTTTCGAGCTTGTTGAACAGAGTAATATTTTTGAAAACTCTGTACATACAATTTTGATAGAATATGTAGACACGCATCGAGTTTCAGGTACACTTGCCCCTTGATTGTTGTCCGTTGAACGAAAATCCAACCAAATGTCATTTTCCCTTTAGCTGCTTGAACGTTCTAACGATGATCCTACATTTTTGGATAGGATAATTTTCGGTGAAAATACTGTAGTGTACGGCTACGATATGGGGACGAAACTCCAATCGTCCTTGTGGGTTGAAAAATGTAGTGCAAGACCGAAAAAAGGGAGACAAGTTCGGGCAAACATAAAAATCGCAAAACACCCTTGAGGTTGCCTTACTTCAAGCCACATACCAACGAAGCTAATTAGGATTTTTCAAATTTGTGAACGTAACGTTCTTAAACATATTTTCAGCTATCAGAAAAGCTCAAGAAAACGTAATTTGGACGCATTGTGGGCTAGTTATGACCAAAATCCGGTTTCTAATCTAACAGACCTCGTATTCCAATGATTCCTCGAAACACATGCGCAGGGGGCCTAAAGACGTTTCTAGGGGTGTAGGTATGTAGATTGGCGTCCGTAATGATATATTTTGTTAAAAAAAAACAAAGAAAAAAATTGAAAGCTTAAGATTAAATTCACACTTTTGGCCCTTTCTTAACCTGATGTGTATTTCCCTTGAAGGGTATCCACGGTTGATGTCATGGCAAGAATTAATAATCGGCAATTATCCATAAAATTTGGCAGTTTTCAGAAGGGTGTAATCATTGTAAAGTGAAGTGCAGAAAGTTCAGGAGAGGTTATAAAAGGAGTACCCTCTGCTCTGGGAAATTGATGATTCTTCTATTATCGATCTCCGTGCATCCAACCTGACGCATTTAATTCATACTGTGGAATCCGTTTCAGAGTTACGACTCTAGTTATGGTACATGTGAGGGAGCAACCTATATTAATGAGATCACATCAAACTTTATTCATACTTAAATGTAATTGGACGGATCGTAAATTTTTACGAGCTTTTGGATCCCATTCGTCAGCGGAAATCGAAGGCCCCGGGGTGGGGGCTCATCATTTAGAGACCTGGACCCTTTGTCACAGATACAGTTTTCTCCTATCCCCCACTCGGGGGAATCGCATCTCTTCGGGGCACCCTGCACTTTTCCTTTGATTAGTTGATACTACACTGAAAAAAAATTCTCGGCGTTTTTACCAAGGTCCGTTGGTACCTTTACCATCTCACTTTTTTACCAATTATTGGTAATTTTACCAAGACTGACTAGTAAGCTTACCTAAAAATCGGTATTTTTACTATTTTTCTCAGGTAAGAATACCACTTTTATTGGTAATCAATTCCCGGTAACTTTGCCATTTTATCTCGGTAATTCTACCACAGTCGATAAAAAATATTGGCGTTTTTACCAAGGTCCAGTAAAATTACCGAGAAAGTTCAGTAATTCCATAAATGGTAATTTTACCAAGAAAAAACTGGGATCAAATAGAACCATGAATTCTTGGTAATTTTACCGTTATCTTAGTAAATACACTGAGATTTTATTTTTTCACTGAAGAGAGCAGTAAGTGCATTTCTGTATGAGCCATGATTAGCACTTGCTTTTACGTGTCTCGAGGTTCATCCCAGCTGCACTCACTGCTTTCTTCGCTATCACGGCTGAGCGGTGCCTATACGCTTCGTTTTGAATTTTAGATGGTGGAGTTGCGAATGAAACGATCGATTCCAGGTGAGGTAACTAAGAATCAATTTTTAAAATGGATTCAAATGGAGTTAAAAAAATGTTGCCAGTTGCCACCTTGAAGAAATTACCCCCATTAGGGAACGAGAAGGGGGCTAAAATCGGGTAACATGTCACCTGAACCTCTTCCTAATTCCTTTGATATTCCTAATGGTGTTTTGGTGAAAATTCGAAAGAACTTTAGGGAGCGTTCATAAATTACACAATGCTTCAGAGGGAGAGGGGGTTAAGCTTGCGTCACGCTGCATCAAAAGAGGGCAGGGGATCAGTGCCTGCGTTACGGAACCCTCTCTATTAGTTAAAACCACACGAAATCGAAGTCACAAATTAGTAACCCTCAAAATCTTCAACGATATTCAGTACACTATCATTAAAAATACTTCAAATCTTATTTAGGTATACATTCAACAATTTCTCATAATTTTTGGAGTTTCTGACTGATGAGATGGTCTACCAATTTTTGACTCTTTCAGCAGACAGAATATTGTGTAAAGATTTCTTTACATGACGGTTAAAGTACCAGGGCCCTACTGAGCTTTAATAGAGAGGAATCATGTTTACAAATCATACTTATACAATTACACATTTGAAGTGACTAATAATATTCCGGTTTTATTCAATCAATGGCATGCCAATTTATACAGTGAATCTAAGTTCCCTTCATAAAACGGTTTTTTTTTGTTTTTACTGAATATGTGTCAGCTGCAAAGCAAAGAGTTTAGGTTAGATTGGAAATGTCCCAGAGGATTTATCAATTTTGCATGTGTAACCAATATACAAGCAAAATTAGTGTATCTTATGTACCCAATCATTTAAAGAGCATAGGGCCTGGTTACACGCTCAAGTTTCTGTCAAATTCCGATCAAAATGATGACCAAGATGGCGGTCGGGAGTTATCTAGATTCATGAGTAAAATTAATTAAAACAGCGTGTTGATAAAAATAAGCATGAAATAAGTACGGTTGTGTGGAAATCAGATGAAGGATGAGCCCCACAGCTCCATCATCTACCATCAAATTTTTGCAGGCCGCAGAAATTTGATGGTAGATGGTGCGCACCAGTCACCATTTGATCGGAAATTGATGGGAATTTAAGTGTGTAACCAGCACATTAGCTGATAAAAAACACCAGCTGTATTCCTCAAAAGGTACTCGTGAAAAAACAGTCACGAAACCGAATAACCACCCCGCGCGAAAAAATAAAACAGTGCGCTGAGGATCATATGCCAACAAAAATTACGTAGTGATATCCCGAGTCAATGTAAGTAGCTGCAGAGTGGCACTTTCAGAATCACCAGACTCCATTGCTCGTCTGCCTTTTTTCCCATCGTGTTTTTATTTCCGTCGCCCTTATTGACACATCTTAAAGCCCTCTTTGAGCACGGCAATATCGGGTTTATTGTCGGATCTTCCGAGATACGTGCATTTGACGAGGTTCGCCTACGATCTTGGGCTCTTAAAAGGATGCGTAACTGCTTTGATACAGCGACACCATTCCAGGGATCTTCCTTAGGAACAAGGACCGACGAAAGGGTCAAAGGAAATAAGCATCGAATGAGTATGCTCGCCTTTTATTTTTTCCCTCCTGAATTTTACACAAGATCGCGCCGTTTCGGCTCTTAAGGCGAAAATATACATACAAGTGTCTGTTTGTATACACGGAAGGAAATATTGTGCAAACAAAGTTACGTGCCACCCAGCGATCCTCCATTTTTGAGAAGAACGAACAGAGTGCATGTCGGATTTCCTTTGTTTGTTTTTCTTCGCAAACTGGGTGGAGGGTCTTACCGAATAAGTTACCCTTCATTCCCCTTTAATATTACTGGAAAATACCATGATTTATCATGAGAGTAAATTATCATTAGTATAAGCTCTCTGACCTCCTGAAAAAAAACTTTCTGGAGATTTTCTTTGTTTACTTAAAGCGTCGTTTCTTGGCAACGGAATGCGGTTTTTTTGAGTTACATTCGTGCGGATTCAACTCATAATCAGTTTTTTTAAGTTTAACGTTTCGGTATCGTTAAGTTATAGTTTAAAAACAACGATAACGGAACAACGTTTCTTTAACTCAAAAAAACCAAATTTTGTCGACAAAAAACGGCACTTTAAGTCAAAATAATATCACGAAATTTTTTTTTCAGTGCTCTTCAAATTTTCATTTTTTGTTATAATTTGTCCCGTCGTTCTTTTCCTTCGATGATTTTGCGGGTATCAATTTGTCCCTGAATTGGCCAGTTCCATTCAGATTTTGAAAAATATGACCGAGCTCTTTACATAACGGGATTAAGTTTCGAATTCTCTCATTTTATCAATGTAAATGTTTATTCCTTGTCGCAGCTCGTTCTAAAGATCTACCGGGCCGATTTTCAGGATTTTTGCGGATATCGATAGGATATAGTCCCTAGCTCTGTTTATTATTATACTGGTTTCTCTTAGACGGGCGTAAGTCCAAAAAATCATGAGCCCTAGCATCCTCCGTGATCAACGAGAGCCAAGGTTCATGTGTTTTTGGACTTACGCCTGTCTAGCAGAAACCAATTCAATTTAGAGTAACTTGAGAGGAATCCGCAAACCAGGTCTCAGGGGGTGCGAAATGCCCCCCCCCCTCTCCCGGATTGGGCCTCATAGCGGCCGGGGAACATAAGCAGTTGAGCACCTTATTATGACTTATTAATTTTCTTTAAAAATATGTTTCTATGATCTCTTGTTTAAACTCACTTCCAACTGATAGTGGTAACAAAAATATAATTGTATTGTTTTTCCTGTTTCTTTGTTGTAGGTTAGAATGATGCCAGGTTTCCTTTTCTACTCGTGAAATACTGAAATAACAGATTTTATCACATACACCGGAACAAACATTTACGAAGCAACTTATAGAACGCAAAGAAGGTATACATATTGCACTTAACATATGTGAATCGTTGGTTATCGGTGTCCAATAAAGTTAAAGTTGGAAATATTTATTCAGCTTTCCCTTTTAGTCAAAAACGTCGTATCAATGCCCGAATTGCGAAACCACGTACCCTGGTAGCACAGGTCAGATTGAAGATGTTTTTAAAATGTGTCATTGATCCGAAAAAATTTCTTTAAAACATTTCAATGAAACATCTTGAAAACATATCATGTGTCCAGACGGTTTTGAAAAGGTTTCTAAAACAACTCTATGTCACCCCTAAATTTTGTTTCACAGATACGTCCGATAGATGTTTCTCATACCTTTACAACACATCTCAGTGAGGTACCTATCGGCACCACAAATTCGTCGCAGAGATATATCTGACACATTCTTGAAACATTTCGGTGAGAGGCATGACATTCCTTTGTATCGTCGAAACGTTTCAAAAATGTTTTCAAAACCTTTCAGTGGTTTGTTGAAACATCTTGAAAACATATCATGTGTCCCGAAGGTTTAGTCGTCCGATAGATGTTTCTCATACCTTTTCAACACATCTCAGAGAGGTATCGGCACCGAGGCTATAAGTATCAAAAATTTCAGACATTTGTTCTAACTAATGTCGCTGTGGAATTAGAACCATCGTAGCAGACATCCCTTGATACCAACCATGCATGAGGGCTGAATCGTTACACTTCATCATTATCAACCTATCAGAGGGATTAGAACACCTTCACTTTAGAAAAGTATACGCAAAGCACGATGTACGGTTTCAATATTCTAGATAATCCATAACTTATGAGCTTTTATGGAGATGAACTCGATTCATACAAGGAATTAACCGTGTTAATAACCTCCACATAATTAAATGTCCAAAAAGTATAGCTTGAGACGAAAAATTAAGCTGAAATTTGGTAAAATTGAAAAATTAAACTTCAACGCCCTCTGGTGGATTCAGTTTGAACTAGGTAGGAAAAGTTTTAGAAAGGTCCTAGAAATGTTTCTATGTTATTCAATGAAACATTTCTAAAACGTGTCAAAAACAT